CTTCATATAATACTTCATATAATACTACATATAATACTTTGAATAATATATAATACTTCATATAAGCTAGCTAACAGACAGAGGCTAACAGACAGAAGCTAACAGAAGCTAACAGACAGGAGCTAACAGAAGCTAACAGACAGAAGCTAACAGACAGGAGCTAACAGAAGCTAACAGAAGCTAACAGACAGAAGCTAACAGAAGCTAACAGACAGGAGCTAACAGAAGCTAACAGGAGCTAAGCGAGGCTAACAGACTGTAATGAGGATGCTAATTGGTACCTCCAGCAGTGTTTCTGTCCCTCAGCTGAGGCTGACAGGACGGACTCTGAAGCTCTCACAGGAATTAACATAATTGTTGCCTGACACACGCTGACATGATGCTATTTAGCATGTTCTCGTTCTCGTGTCGGTGCAGATGAATCATTGAAATCAACAGTTTTTGGCCTTTTTCACAAAAACAGAGGAAGTGCCCAAAAACATCAAGAGAATCACAGCAGATCTCTTCAGTGTGTGACCCTGAACGCCTTGGGTGGTGTTCAGGGTTTCTTTTAGTTTTTTATAATTTTGGGGGGTTTATTGCCTTTAATTGATAATACTTCATATAATACTTCATATAATATACAGGGTGACACAGTCGAACCCACAGCTGCTGAAGGAAGGATTCAGTCTAACTAACCCAGCTGAGCGACAGTTAGTAACAGTCAGTAACAGTCAGTAACAGTCAGTAACAGTCAGTAACAGTCAGTAACAGTCAGTAACAGTCAGTAACAGTCAGTAACAGTCAGTAACAGTCAGTAACAGTCAGTAACAGTCAGTAACAGTTAGTAAGAGTCAGTAACAGTTAGTATCAGTCAGTATCAGTCAGTAACAGTTAGTAACAGTCAGTATCAGTTAGTAACAGTTAGTAATAGTCAGTATCTGTTAGTAACAGTCAGTATCAGTTAGTATCAGTCAGTAACAGTCAGTAACAGTCAGTAACAGTCAGTAACAGTCAGTATCAGTAACAGTCAGTATCAGTTAGTAACAGTTAGTAACAGTCAGTAGCAGTTAGTAACAGTTAGTAACAGTCAGTAACAGTTAGTAACAGTTATTAACAGTCAGTAACAGTTACTAACAGTTAATAGCAGTTAGTAACAGTTAGTAACAGTCAGTAACAGTTATTAAGTCAGTAACAGTTACTAACAGTTAATAGCAGTTAGTAACAATTAGTAACAGTCAGTAACAGTTACTAACAGTTAGTAGCAGTATATATATAAAACAATATTCAATAAACTAATGATTAAACAAAATGAATATAAATTATCTGTAATCTATAAATAAATAAGACCCAACATTTTTATTTTATTGGCCTGAAGAAGAAGAAGAGTAAATGTTGCAGCTGTTTAGGTTTAAAAGTTAAAATGTGTAAAAGACGCATCAGAAGATCTGACCCCGGATCAGCAACAACAGACAGATGAAACATGAGTTTACATCAGTGATGTTCACTTCACGTTCATCTTTAAATCCTCTTAAATCTTAAAGGAAGCGGCGGTGGTGGCGGCGGCGAGTGCCGATGATTAAACCGCCACTGTCACACAAATCAAAGATCTATTAAAGATTAGAGGAAGAGATGACGACCCACTCTGCTCCTTTATTCACTCTCTTAATGAAAACAGAAGATAAGCTCTCGCCACTCGCTGCAGCCACATCACAGC